TACTCTCAACTCTCCATTGAAGCTTGTTCTAAGCTTTATCTCTTCCATTGAAGCACCTTCTAAGGTCATACATTCTTACTTCTTTTTTTAATCATCGAATAACAATTAAATTAACGCATTAATTCAATAGTCAGCATACTAAATTTAGGGTTCTGCTGAAGTATATTATTCAACTTTATTACAATTACTTAACTTATATCAATTCCATTGCTAAATTTTTTCTATTCATACCCTTTAAAGAGTAGAATTAAACGTAAATTTGCGAGCTTTTTTTTTAAAAAAATAAATAAATAATTGAGTGAAAATTGGTTGCTATTTTGTTGCAGGATTTTGTTGATAAAATTGTTTAATGTTGGGACTAATGTGTGAAAATGGAGTTTTCCTCCCTGGAACTAAGGCGGTTTCCCCTCTTGCTCTGAGTCCTGGTCGGGCTTGGGCTTCTACTTCGTCTGTTACTTTCAAATCAGACATAGCCGTTTCTAATATTCTAGTGGCCCGGGGCAAAATGATAATACTTTTGTTGAATAAATCATTTGTTTTTATAATTATAAATATTTACGTAATTTGTTAATTAATAAATAATTTTACGTAATTTGTTAATTATTTCATCAGTTATTTTAATTGCATTATTTACACTTTTTCACTATTCACACACCTCTTTTGAATTTCTTTTGTGATTTAATCGTTAGAATATTATATTTTTAAATAGTTATATGTGATAATTTATTTCGTGATTAATCAATTTATTACATGGTTATGACACACACAAAATGTGCATAATTACGCTTCTACATTGAAATCTTTCTTTGATTCATCTCATTCTATGAAAGAGTATTAAATTGACTTACTTGTTTTAATCTATAATTATGAGTGAGAAATCAATAATAATCATGTTTCATAAATGTACCATCGCATAATTAAATTATCATTTCTTATCATGCTTGTAAACATGTCATTAAATAGAATTTATCAAACAATCCAAGAATCATAATCTTCTTATAATGATGACACTTTAATTTTCAAAGTATATAAAATACCTAATAAGATACTATGCGAATATTAAAAAATCCATACATGTATACATACCAAATAAAATTATCAACCACTTAAAAATCATCTCACTCGATTCTCCTATATCGTAAAAATAATTATTGTCAAAATAAAATTGCATAATTAAAATATTTTAAGCCTAAAACAAGAAAAACCTTCTCATGTAAGAAATAAAAACTTGTAAGAAAACTTCTGAAACAATTACTATCATCAGTAACAGATACACATCTAAATCTCTTCCAATTCAAAGTGGAATCTTGATTTTGATAACTTTAATATAAACTATTACTATAAAAAAATAACATTCATTAAGATATCTTTATATAACTACAATTATAATAAACCATTTTATAATAAATTCAAACATTTAATGCAAGAAAAATAATTCCTCCATTTTTTAAAGTGCGCATCACTTTAATCGGCATAATTTGTTAGGAGATTGACTTGAATTCTATAAATAATATGCACAAAAAAATTGATACATTGTATAAAATTTCATAGTGTCAACTAATTATAATAAATATATGATCAAAATTATTAAAGGTAAAATAATGTTATGTATAAACAAAATGTATATTAAAGTGTTTCAATTACTTTAGGATGATTTTTTTTTTTACAAAAACTTTAGGATGATAAATTTTGTAGGGTACCCCTCCGTATTTTATTGGTTATTATCAGATTTTAAATATTATTCATAATACTTCAATCGTTTCTTTTTATGGTTATGTTTAGATTTTAAAAGTTATTCATAATACTCATTCCGTCCCAAAATATATGAGACGTTGGACTTTTTTCACTATTTATGTATTAGTTTTGATCATAATTTTTTACTAACATAATAAAAACTTATTTTATCATAAAATATGTTGTTAAATAGGTATATATAAAGTTTCAAAATATAATTTTAAAATATTTTTCATAATAATTAATTATATACAAATAAATTCAAAGTAATGCATTGACATGCGTGCAATATTGACTGTGTCATGTATTCTGGGATAGAGGAAATTAGATAATATTTAAATTTACTCACGAAAGTAAAAGAGTCGTGTGAGATCATGTTTGATTCATCTCAACGAATGCTCTATTAATATTCAATCGTTATAATTTTAAAAAGTATGTAATGAATAATAATCAAATATGTGTATTGACAAATGTGTAAAAGTCAAAACGTATCCAATAAAAAGTGAAGAAGGGAGTATTATACTTTACATATAGGGTAATTTTGTGAAAATTTAAGATAATTTTACCAACAACTATCATTATAATGACTACTTTGAGAACAACTAACTACCATTTATTTATTTATTTTTTTTGTAAAAAAAAAATCTAAAAAAATCTACCACAAAACCTTGAGTAACACAACTACATTTAATTTCTTGGCAATAATCTCCAATTGAGAGAGCTAAAAAATCGGTCGTTTCAACGACAAGGGAAGGGAGGAGGGGCAGTTTCATCGACCTGAGAAGAGAAGGGCTATTTGGGGGATGGGGGAAGGGGGGTGGTTTCGATGGTGTAGGTGGGTCGCTAGAGTGTTTTTAGGGGTAGAGAAGGGCCGACTGGCTGTTATCGGTTGCTAGGGGAGGCGGGCGGTCGAATTTCGGTCGGGCTGGGGGTTGGGGCTAAGGGGAGGAAAGATGGTAGCTGGCTGGGAAGGGTTTTTAATTTTTTTTCCTTTTTTTTACAAAAAAAAATTTGGACCAATTATGTTGTGACACATCACACATTGATTTTACAAAATGAAAATCACCGTTTCTTTAAGTCACTGGTTAATCGATCTAGTGGAAGAAAATCAACCCAAAAGTTCATAGTGCTCTCTAATTAACGTAATTTGGGATTATTGCGAGTAAATTGCTGAAAGTTCGGATTAATAAATTATAGTGAATTTTTCTAAAAATTAAAACTTAGATTTTGGAAGCATCCAATATAATAGATCGAAAAGCGAAGACAAGTCGAATTCAGGGTAAATTGGAGGATGAAATGGAGTCGTTTGACTCTTGAAATTGTCGTTTTTAATCTCTTTAGTTTTAATAAAAATGTATTCCTTTAATGGAAGTGGTGTTACTTATGTTTGTTGGGAGATGTAGCAAAATTTCAATTTCAGATTTACATAAACGCGTAGTAGGTGTTGTTAAACTCATTTGTATGTGATATCGGTAAAAGTCATTACAACATCTAGACCTTGTATGAGAATATATACTCCCTTTGTCTCACAATATAGTTTTTGTTTTCCTATTTTAGAGACCCAAAATGTTGTTCCTATTTCTATTTTTGAATAGTATGTAAAGACCATTATACCCTCAATTTTTACTTTATTAATTGAACTTCCTAATTTACCCTTAAATTATCCACTTGCATTGTACTTTTTTCACTTTCTCTCTCTAACTTTTGTCTATAATTGAACTTTTTACCTTTTTTCCCCTTAAATTATCCACTTGCCTTGTACTTTTGTCTAATTCTTTTCCACTTCTCCTCTCATTTCTTAAATACCGTGAAAAAATAAAATAGGAACTATATTATGGGACGGAGGGAGTATAAGATATGGTTTTGTCAGATCACAAAGAAATGTGATTGACATGTATGAAGCATATATCTCAAGAGGATTTTATCCATTTGAATTATTGGGGTCCCTTAATGTAAGACATACTAATTTTGGGTTGTTTCCGTCATTTCAGCAACATTCATAGACTTTTAATTGTATGTTAGAAAATATCTTGCACAATACGAAACATCATCACTAACTTCCCTCGTTCTATCAATAGTCTCATCGCATGTTTAAATGTATATTGGTAAGCCTTATATGCGTTGTCCTTATTCGTTGTAATAGCTAAATAGTAAATGTCGTTAATGACCTTAATTGATATTGCGTAAGGGCTTCTTATGCCAATAGTAACTTATGTTACTTACTGTCCTTTTGTTTGTTATAAACTCAGTTTAATTAATGTAATTTCAACTGTTTTTTTAAAAAAACTCTTAAAAACTTTCAAAGAATTGATACAAGCTTTGACATGTGGAAATATCAAAAAATATTTTAAACATATTTACATAAAACTTTTATAAAGTCCATCTGTCTCATAATTAGACGATCATATAAAGACCCGCCTCATTTATTTATCAGACGGGTCTAACCCATATTATAACTACGGCGGGTCATGGCTTTTAAAAGCCTCCATTCCTATGTCCTAAGTCTCTGAGTTATTTCATTGAAGCGCACTCAAGTTCTCCATTGAAGCGCACTCCGTTGAATCTAATTCTTGTATCCCCCATTGAAGCAGCTTCTAAGGTAAGTTGTTTGTTGTTGTTATCATCATATCAATTTCACAATCTAGGGTTTATATTTGATCTAATCTAATTTAATTATCAGTGCTTTAAGTTTAGGGTTCGCAAATTCTTAGATTATGAAACATCATATCCAAAAGAAAAGAAAATTATGAGCGTAATTTGATTATTGAATCAAGTATCCCTAAAATTATGTATTTTTCGAGATAATTCAATATGAATTCAAATCTCTTTTCCCTGGGCCTAGGGTGGCCGCCCCTCCTGCCCTGCCTCAGGGACGGGCCTGAAATCAGATAACAGCAAGAAACTCCCTTTAGTTTCTTGCAAAGCTTCCATTGATGCTCCTAATTCTTCTTCAATCCAGTAGGTTTATTTATTTTTATTTATATTTTTTATTGACTTAGTCAACGTTTTTAGTTAATTTTTTTTTAAAATTCTTTATTTCAGATTTTTTTTTAATTTTTTTTATTTTAATTTGTTAATTTAGGCCAATAAGGTGATGACACGTGAATCTTTTAGTCGGGAAACAAGTTGGAATAGAGTAGGGGTGGTGATTCCTACTGATTTTGGGTTTTGTAGGTGATTTTTTTTAATTTCGTAAAAAAAGGGTGGTTTTTTTACTAAAGTAATGTATTTTGTGGTGGTTTTTTTTAGAAAATAACACCAGAAAAAAGACACGATTTTGATTATAACACCACAAAAAAAACTTTTATTATAACACCACAAAAAAAAAATGATTTTACCACCAGATAACAAATTCTTTGATGGAATTCGTTAGTGGGTCCACAACAGACACGTTCAATAGCTTATTGGTTAAAAAAATAAATTAATTAAAAAAATAATTAAATAAAAACTTAAAAACCCTTAACCCTAACCCAGCCAGCTCCACCACCGGCACCACCCGCTTTAACCGTCGACAACCTTACCTAAGCTGCCGACACCCCACCAAAACCGGTGAAACCAGCCCATACTCCCTTCCCCCTCCCCGAAAACCACCCCAGCTCGATCCGCCTAGCCTCACAAATCCACGAATTCGCACCCTTTCGAACCCCCGCAACCACCACCTACCATGAATTTGTTCGCACGGAGCAATCCCCGTAACCACCTCCGCCACATCATACAACCAATTCAGACCCTTCGAACCACCGCAAATGCCAATTCGCACTGATCTAGTGGATTGTGGTTGGTATTTGTGGTAGTTTTGGGGTTCGAATTGGTTGTGATTTGCGGTGGTTAGCAACCCACAAATCATCAATTACTGCCTCGATTAAGGGGGGAAGGGGTGATTTTCGGGGAGGGGGAAGGGGGTTAGGGGTAGTTAGCTGGTTTCGCCGGATTTGGTGGGGGAAGGGAGTGTCGGCGCCTGGGCAGGTAGTGCCGGCAGGTGGCAGCTGGGCTGAATTAAGGTTTTGTTTTTTTTTTAATTGAATTTTTTTTAAACCAATACATGTATGACACGTGTCTTTTATAGGCCCCACTAATGATTTCTATCCAAGAATGCGTTAGTGAAATTAAATTTTTGGTTTTTTTTGGTGTTATAATAATTTTTTTTTTTTTTTTTGTGGATTTATTATCAAAATCATGTATTTTTTTCTATGTTAATTTCTAATTTAGCCTTAGAAATATAGAATTTTACAGGATAATTATTCCCCGGAGCTTTTTCACGTTTTACGCTGCCTCGCTGCACCACTCCCACTCTATCTCTTTCATTGAAGCATACTCTCAACTCTCCATTGAAGCTTGTTCTGAGCTTTCTCTCTTCCATTGAAGCACTTTCTGAGGTCATACATTCTTACTTCTTTTTTTAATCATCGAATAACAATTAAATTAACGTATTAATTCAATAGTCAGCATACTAAATTTAGGGTTCTTCTGAAGTAGATTATTCAACTAAAAATTACAATTACTCAACTTATATCAATTCCATTGCTAAATTTTTTCTATTCATACCCTTTTAAGAGTAGAATTAAACATAAATTTGCGAGCTTTTTTTTTTAAAAAAAAATAATAACTGAGTGAAAATTGGTTGCTAATTTGTTGCAGGATTTTGTTGATAAAATTGTTTAATGTTGGGACTAATGTGTGAAAATGGAGTTTTCCTCCCTGGAACTAAGGCGGCTGCCCCTCCTGCTCTGAGTCCGGGTCGGGGTTGGGCTTCTACTTCATCTGTTACTTTCAAATTAGATAACAGCAAGAAACTCCCTTTAGTCTCTTGCAAAGCTTCCATTGATGCTCCTAATTCTTCAATCCAGTAGGTTTATTTATTTTTATTTTTATTTTTATATTTTTACCTTTTTAATTGTATTTTTGTTAGAGTTGTAAAGTTTTGTTCTTGATTTTGAATTTTTTATATTTTGCTTCCTCTTCCGTAAGTTCCCTCAGTCAAACTAGCAATTTGCTAAGTCTGTCTGTGCAATTTGCAGTGTTTTTGAGTGCTATGCTATCAATTAATATGCTTAAGCTTGCACGGCCGTGTGTTTTATGTTCGGTTGTGGGGAGTGGGATTATTTGCACATTTGGGGGTTTTCTGGGGTTTAAGGCTCTAGCAGAATTTAAAAGATTAAAAGAAATGTGGGAATATACTGAATTGATAATAGTAACATGTGGGTATCTTCACTATATCTTGAATATGTACATTAATATTGTATAATTGTTAAAGTGTGGTGTCTTCAGAATCTCTTGAGTTATGTGCATTAATACTGTAATTGATAAAAGAAGCATGTGGTTTTTTTTTTTTTTTTTGAATTATTAAGAAATACGAAGTATGTAGTATTTTTTATTAATGAATTGATAATTATCAGTATTAAAGTTTCTGACTTGGGAATTGGGGTTATTTGTTGCTTTGTTGTGTTTGATCAGGAGTGAGAATAGGGCTTTGGTTGTACAAGGTGTGTCTGAAAAGATTGTGGGTGTTTTGGGAGGTGGGCAGCTCGGTCGCATGTTATGCCAAGCTGCATCGGAAATGGCTATCAAAGTAGCTATTTTGGACCCCTCTGAGAACTGCCCAGCTTCTTCTTTCTCACATTATCATATGGTTGGTAGCTTTGATGACAGTACCACAGTTGAGGAATTTGCAAAGAGGTTGGAATTTCAGTAAAAATAGTCCCTCCCTCACCCTCCATCCCCTTCTTCTGAAGTTCATTTATGTTTCGACGATATTGATCAAGTGTCCTTTTGGTGGCTAGATGTGGAGTTTTGACAATGGAGATTGAGCATGTTGATGTTGCCACACTTGACAAGCTTGAACAACAAGGAGTTGATTGCCAACCCAAAGCCTCTACCATTAGGATAATCCAGGTATAGAATTTATGCTCACAGTATCTTTATTATATATTTATACTGTACAAAAATTTGATGATCTTAGCTTTTTTATTCATGAAATTGGCAATTACTTTTGTTATACCAGATGTTTACTTTTTTCCCCTTTTAATTTAATGCTCACATCTACTGTATGTAATTTGCGGCTTTTTTGCTATGTTTGTGGGGGACATGTGAATGTACAATTAGGGGAAGACTTAAACTATCAAATAATGAATTTTGTGTTTGTTTGTCTACATTACTTTTTTATGCAGGATAAATACCTTCAGAAGCTACATTTTTCTCGACATGGGATCCCTTTGCCTGAGTTTATGGAGGTGGGTAGTGCCCTATGAGGTATTAGTCAATCTAGAATTTTTAGGAAGCATTTGTTGCTGCTTATAATTCCTTCTTTAGGGATCCTATAGTTGAATTATGTCCAATGCAGATAGATAATGATGAAAGTGCAAGGAGTGCTGGAAAGCTATTTGGTTATCCTCTTATGATCAAGAGTAAAAGGCTTGCCTACGATGGACGTGGTAATGCTGTTGCTAAGTGTGAAGAAGATCTCACTTCTGCAGTCAGTGGTATGATCTTCTATGTCAAACTCTATAAATGTACTAGAAATGTTTTCATCGAAACTTTTTGGCAGTAATTGATAAGAAAAATCATAACCTTCCGTTGTCTTGTTGTTGTTCTATATGTTCAATCTTCTTTCCTTAAATATCTTGTAATTTTTATTAATCTAAAGGATGATAATATTGCTCATTTGTGGCTCTAGGATTCATCTGCTTAAATCTAACTACATTGAAACTGGAATTTCTTTCAAGATAGAGGGAACATGTGATTTTTTAATTGGCTAATATTTATCAGAACAAGAGAAGAATGTGCTTTGATTGGAGACATCTAAGTTCCCTTTTGATGTCTTAAAGTGCTTGATATTATATTCTAAGCATCTAGTAAATGGCAGGCTGGTTTCTTTTTACTACCTCTGATTTTGATATAGTCATGAACTCGTGACTTATGGGTGAGCGGCCCAATGAATATTTTTACTTGAACTGTCTAGTATTAGGCCCTGTTCACTTCACCTTAAAATAATAATATTCGGTAAAAATAATTCAAGTTCAGTAAAAATAAGTTTTGTACAACAAAAATAATTTCAGTTTAGTAAAAATAAGTTCAGTTCAGTGAAAATAATTTCAGCTTTGTAAAAATCAGTAAATTCAAAGAAGAAATATAATAGAAAATCAGTAAAAATAATTTCATTTCAGTAAAAATAATTTCATTTCAGTAAAAATAAGTTCAAGTTCAGTTCAGTAAAATTTATTTCAGTTCAGCAAATAATTTCAGTTCAGCAAATATAAGGTGAAGTGAACGGGGCCTTATAGGTTGTTCATTTCCATAAACAATAGTCCCTCTCTTTCTCTATCTGTTTTTCCCCTTCTCTTTGCTACTTGTTTTTCTACCTTTTGACTTTTTCTGCGATTATAATGTGCATTTCATATTCTGCAGCTCTTGGGGGATATGAGCGAGGCCTGTATGTCGAGAAATGGGCTCCATTTATAAAGGTTAGCATCATAATATTAGAAGCAATGCGTTGTTATTTTGATTTCTTTATTGTGCATATTATAAATGGTTATTTTTGTTGTTAACAGAATGATCTTCATAACACGGGCAAGATTTTAAATTTGTCTGAACTGTATTACTCTGTACTTTCTTATTAGAATTTAACCAATTATGGTGTAGCATTCTGTCTTGGATTAAAAATGTATATGCCCAAAATCATTAAAAAAGAACAACATGATCTGCCTAATTTTTGCCGTTTATGCATGAGAAGAAGGCTAAGATACTCTATTTGACCTGGGGGTCAAGTTCAATATGATCTACCGCTATGTACATTTGAAAAGTCCAAGGCTGGTTGTCCAACAGAATCATATAATATGTGCAAAAACATCCAATTTGAATGTATATTAGGCTGGAAGTTTTTTTTTTCACAAGAAGAGGCTGTAGTAAGGTCTTGGAATGTTCTGTACATTTTTCTAGTGGTATAAATAATTTTGTAACCTTTTTTTTTGTTTTTTTTTTCTTCTAATGTTTAACCTCTCTCTCCAAAGGATTTTCGTAAGAGTAAGAAAAGTGATGCTTTTGTTACTTCTGAACACGCATGGAAGCTTTGGCCCCAAACTCCCAATTTATGTACCTAACAATTTGCTATATTATTGCTGGAAATCCGGATTGGATATCTTAGACCTCATCTTAATCATGAGTTTCTTGAATGTTTAGAATTTAATGTTAAGCATTAGGCCAAAGGGAAGGGAATACTGTGGGAATTGCTTTATATCTCTGTTAGGAGTTGCTTTAGGTAGAAGGCAGAAAATTAGCTACAGAAGAGAGATAGAGAGGGAAAAGACTATTGTTAGTGGAGAATAGGGATGAAAAATATGGAGAAACCTATTTAGTGTTAAATTCCTGTTTTTGTTATCAAGCTTTTGGATATGCAATGATGTATATAAGTGTTTTGAAAAAAAAAAAAAAATATTCTTTAATCTAGCAATTTCTAATAACGTATACGCTTGATCAGGAATTGGCAGTCATTGTTGCAAGAGGAAGAGACAATTCTGTCTTGTGCTATCCTGTTGTTGAAACTATACACAAGTAAGTGTTTAGAAAGTTGTTCGGCATTTTTAAGTGCTTAATTTGTCACACCTGCATGGATCAGAACTTGTTTTTTAATCCATTCCCCGATAAAAAGAACTGAAAAATGTGTATACTTACTTGCTGCGGGTGTTTTGGTAGGGAGAATATTTGTCACATTGTTAAGGCTCCAGCTGCTGTACCATGGAAAGTAAGAAAACTAGCCACTGATGTTGCACATAAAGCTGTGAGTTCTTTGGAAGGTGCAGGAGTCTTTGCAGTAGAATTGTTCTTGACGGAGGCTGGAGAGGTTTGTTTTTTGTTTATGTTAAGCATTTTGGAGGTTACTTTTAATTATTTATTCTTATCCTTAAATTCACTTTATGTATTATGGTTTATACGTCTACAAACCATTCTTTCCGTTTCTTTTGCTGTACACTAAGTCTACATTTGGTTGCGGCAGATTTTGCTTAATGAAGTAGCTCCCAGACCGCATAATAGTGGACATCATACTATTGAATCATGTTATACCTCTCAATATGAGCAGCATTTGCGAGCGGTTATTGGTCTTCCACTCGGCGATCCATCTATGAAGACACCAGCTGCAATCATGTATAACATACTAGGAGAAGATGAGGTGATTCTTTTTCCCTTGCATGTTAATCTCATTTTGAGTTAGCTGATGATGATAACCACCCCAATTTCTATAAGATTCATCTTTATTCTTGTAGGGGGAACCAGGTTTCCGTATAGCTCATGAACTCATGACAAGAGCTCTAGCTTTGCCAGGGGCGTCTGTTCATTGGTATGACAAATCAGGTTTGTGAGAAAACTCCATTCTGAGTTTGTTTTATCGTTTCTACAGAGGCTACATGATCATGTTTCATGAATCATAACGCTGCCGATTTATCATTGTAGCAATGAAAAGGCAACGCAAAATGGGTCACATCACTATTGTTGGCTCTTCTATGGGCATTGTGGAGGGACATCTGAAATCCTTGTTGAAAGAAGACAACCCAGATGGTTAGTTAGCTTCTTCTTAAACGTTTTTACTCCTGGAAGATACCTGCTTGATATGACAAAAAGAGAGTTTTAAACTCTTGAATATATGCAGTGGCATGAAGTGAGAACTAAATTTACAGTGCATTGATGTCTGACTTCTCTATTCATCCACATTACCTAAGGCATTTTAAAAAAAAAAATAGCGAGGCTCCTGTTTTTGTTTCTTTTTTTTTTTTTTTTTGGGGGGGGGGTAAGGGTGGGGGAGGGGGAGGGGGGTTTGTAGGGTTTGGTTGTTTGCTGCCGCACCTATGCTATGATAGAGGTTGTTTCCATTATACTTTATGCTCATCTTGTAACCATCACTTGCCATTTTACAATCAATATGCCCACATATATAATGAACCATTTTTATTTGGTCCATTATAATCTAAAGCTAAAGTATTGACTAATGTTGAGCTCCATTTGAGAGTCACCGCTAATTTTTGACTTTCCTTCATCTATTTGGGATAATATTTCAAAATTGTGGCGAGGCAAGGGACGGTGAGACAAATAGCGGCGGGAGGAGAGAGCAACTTTAGCGGGGTAAGGAGGGGAGAGAGGATGTATGACTATGGTGGGACAGTTTTTGTTGAGGGGAGAGAAAATTGAAAGGAGGAGCTGAGAAATTGTGGTGGTGGAGTGAGGGTGGTTGGAGGGTTAATGTGATGGCTGTGAGGGAGGAGAGAGAATAAAAAGTCATTGCCGGAAAATGTGAGAAAAGTACATCAAGGTATCATCTTGCAAAAAAAAAGTAAGTTGGTAGTTTTTGTTTGCCAAAAAAAGATTTAAATGTTTTCTTACGCAAAATGGTGTTTTAAAAATTAAAAGGTTTTTTGTTTTTTTTTTTTGAAAACTTTCCTTGAATAAAAATGTCTAAAACTTTTATAAGGTACATCACAAACTCACAAAAACAAATAGAAAAGTTGCTATATCACATACTGTGTTTTAAATAGTCCAATCAAATTTTCCAATAGATAACCACAAATAGCAACAACTAAAACTTTAATCCCAATATGATGGGGTCAGCAGCATGTACCAAGATTTTATTTCTGTTGGTCATCGACAAAGATCCTCTCTCATCATTTCCTTTTATTAAGTGCTACATGCCTACGTGCTCTTGCAAATCCTATCTCTTAATATAATAATGAAACCCTCAATCCAATTTACCTTTGGTCTCCTCCCTCGGCAAATTTAGCAACAAATGAAATAATACAACACCACCAAAAAAAAAGGGTGCATTTACCCTATTGATCGAGGACATGGTACCAATGTATAAAAAGGTGTGCCTAGGCGCTAGGGGATTAGGGTAAAGAGCCTTTTTTGCTCTAGGCGAGGCACATTTAAAGATGATATAGGCAAATTTTTTTAATTGTTTTATATAGTGCGAGGTGCGTCTAGGCACAGCAGGACCTTCATCTCCTCATTGAGCCTTGAGCCTTTTTATACATTACATGGTACACGATCTACTTAGTGATGTCTGTTCCTTCCGTTATTCTTCATAAAATGTGCCCCATTGCTGGATCTGGGAAGCTATCGTAAGATTTGAAACCTAGCTGGCTTATCTTTTCATTGTTGTCTTCTTATATTTTACTTGTTAGGATATGCTAACATTGTGCTTTGAAAGTTCCACCAATGTAGTAAAAGCAATTTGTGGACTGTTGTTAATTGGTTATTCTGGTATGGCAAGCGATAATGTAATTAAAATCAACAATTTGAAGCCATGCTGCTTAGCGTTTCAAAGTGTTGTACAAAGTGAGCTGCATTGTCGTAGTTGAGGACTTTAATATGTGTCAACCTTGTTAGATTGTTGTGGGAATTCATGCTATTTCTTTTTTAGATGCAGTCTCAGCTCGAGTTGGAATCATTATGGGATCCGATTCAGACCTTCCTGTCATGAAAGATGCCTCCCGGATCTTAAATATGTTTGGAGTGGCACATGAGGTGAATTTATCTCAACTTCTGTGAATTATACATGCCAATCAGCGTATCAGACAATAAATCATCATGTAATGCAGCTGGCATTTGTTGAGTTTTGCAGGTCAGAATTGTTTCTGCACATAGGACTCCAGATATGATGTTTTCATATGCTACATCTGCTTGGGAACGAGGTATCCAAGTTATCATTGCTGGTGCTGGTGGTGCAGCTCATTTGCCAGGTTACTCATTCAAAACTTGCCTATTCCTTTAGATCTCTGCATTACATCGACAATCTTGATTAATTTAGGGTTTTTTTTTTTTTTTTTTTTTTTTTTTTTTTTTTTTTTTTTTTTTTTCAGGAATGGTTGCAGCACTTACTCCAGTACCAGTAATTGGTGTCCCTGTGCGTGGCTCCTCGCTGGATGGAATGGACTCACTCTTATCAATTGTCCAGGTATTCTTTACAAATTTATTAATTGTTTACCCCTTATCGTCCTATACTTGGATTGTGGAAAGGTTGGAAGCTCTAGATGTCTTAAGGTTTTCAAATTCAATCCCTCCCTTTGCATGTTGCATGGACGTAGGAGTCCCTTGTACTGTGCATGATATCCTCATTTCTTAAATTAGTAGAACAAAAAAATTATATTACACATGGAAACCCAATATTCGGGATTAAGGCTCCAATTGTTGTTGGTGGTGTTGTTATTGTTGTATGCAGTTCATGTACATTGTACAATTCCTTGTCTAATCTGTGTTTGACAGTCTTAGGTATATGTATAGCCATTCGTCTGTCTTTGGGTGATATATTGAATACAACCTGTTTACTTTTATCAATTTATTAGATGCCTAGAGGGGTTCCTGTTGCAACAGTTGCAATAAATAATGCTACAAATGCTGGGCTTCTCGCAGTAAGGATGCTGGGTGTTGCTGATTCGGATTTGACCTCTAGGTCAGTCATAACTGGTCCACTTTTATTTTTTATTTTTTTATTTTTTTATTTTTTTTATATATTTTTTTATTTATTTTTCGTATTATATAAAATGACAAAGAATACTTTTTTTTATTAACGAAATGATGAAACTAAGAGATGTTTAAGGAGGTATTTTGCATAATACTAAAGGTCATCCTGTACTTTTGTTCCTATAGAATGGCCCAGTATCTTGAAGATGCTAAAAATGATGTGTTGGTAAAGGCTGAAAGGCTACACAAAGATGGGTGGGAAGCTTATTTGAGCAAATGAGATTTGTTCTCTCATTGTGAAAGGGGGAAAAATTGTTGCACATCAATAAACTACATCCCCAAAGAACATGGTATGAACATAGATGTGTGATTCTTTTGTGGCGAGGAGCAGGCTTGGAAGCCACCACAAGCAGCCCATACCAAGCTACAAAAATTGAAGGATGAGAATGCGTATGATGATGCCCTAGCCATCACTCATGTGTCGGAAAACTTCAGAAACTCTTAAATCATGAGATGGACACTGAAGAGATGTTTTAGAGGTATATTGCATTATACAAAGTCATCCTGTAGTTTGGAATAATCCACAGGTACCCTTGGTCCAATGCTCATGTAGAAGAAGGTAGGGACAAAGGGGGTACCCCATGAAAAAGCTAAATACTATTTTCTATCTTCTGTATCTTATTTTCCAAATTGCGAATCAAGGGTAAGCGTAAAATGTACAATTTTGGCCTGTAATAATCATTAGTTGGCCCCTAACATTGTTTGTTTCTGACTAAAGGTGTGTTGGTATAAAAAAGAAAAAGTGCTTTGTAATAAAAATGAAAAAGCTTAGAAGCCCCAAGATGCCTAAAAAACCCCGTAAGGGCAATAATGGATCTGGCTGGTAATACATTACTCCATCCGTTTTCTAATAATTGTCGCACTTAATTTTTTGCTACATACTTGTGGTTCCAGTTGCCTTCTTTCACGTAATAATACTACATACTTGTGTTGTGGTTTCATTTTGTGTCGCTCAAACAGTCAAACCTGTGCATTATAAGTTAAGTGAAAACTTACATTTTAGAAAAGTTTTCTTTTGCTTGTTGTACTGCAGGGGCCAGGAAGATTCTAGACATGAAAATCTGATGGAATGATAAAATTATGGACCATTAACAAAAAGATCATTGCTCCCATTATTAGTCCTAGACATACTGTGTGTTGTGCTTGGGGAGTTGGGGACCGCAGAGTTTTGATAGCTCCTCGGCCCTCGCTGATGGCCCAGCAGAGCCCTTTATGCTCATCATAACAAAAATAAGTGCACAATCATACACCAGGAATTTATGGATTGGTTTTGCTGATACTCTCAGCATATTTGCCAATGTGCCTAGCGACGAGGCAACATTAATGTATGGATTGAGGAAAGAGATGACAAAGGAGTATTGTCGTGCGTGCAGTAGTTAGGAAATGCTGCAAGCAACTAAACTGGAGCTCACCTTGCTTCTCGAGACAAATTAATTAGCTAGACTACAATTTGTGGGTTTGATCATTTGATTAACAAGGTCCAAGGACAAGCTAAACTAACAAGATAACTAGTCTAGATAACAATTGTTACTATTTCATATTCATTCTTTATTTGACTGAACTAATTTCATCTTGTCTATTTCTAGTCAAAATCATAAAAAGAATGGAGAGAATTGAGAAAGGAAAGGAAAATCAGAAGATGCATGAAAAAGAATTTCTGAAGGAACTAAACTGTGTCTCTAGAAAAGACATTTAAGCACTTACATGAGGAATCTGATTTCTGGAGAGATCAGACAGCTAGTGAGAAAGTGTTACGTCGGATGTGATATGATGTTCTGTTTTCGAAACATTCGAAGCCAATCGTTAGTTCTTTTTATCATTCCAGATGGAAGGCAGCCTAATGTTGTGCAATGTGCAGTAATTAAGCAGTTTTTCCTTGGGAGTTGGTTATCTAGAAGCATTCGATTGCTTTGTCTAATAACTAGTTTTAATTGTGCTAACCAGGACTAATCGGAGCAGATCGAATTGAGGGTGTAGGAACATTAATTTAGATCGATTGGAATCGTTTAACTATGGAAAAATCAGTAGACTTCTGTGAGATCATAGGTGATTAGGCTGTATGAATGAATACACTGCTTGATGAAAATACTTGCATTGTGACTAAGCCAACATTTAATAATTGCTAATGCCTTTTTTTTAAGCTTAATAGAAAATACTTCATGATAATATATCGAACAATTACTTTAATGTGAGCCTACAATTGTTTGCTAATGTGAAGTAGAAACTAGTTCATGATAAAATTGCCTTATTTAGTGATTATTAGGCTTTTAAAATCAATATGACTTACACAACAATTGTTAATGCTATTTAAAAGTCAAATAGAAAATAACATATAATAAGGTTGTCTTTCCAACATACTTATAATAGATAAGAAAAAAATTAAATATTTTTTTAAAAAACTTAAGTATTAGTTTGAATTAAAACTAATTGATCTAAGCCTGATCTTAAATTGAAAAATAAAACGATATTTTTGGACAAATTGTGGACGGTTATTTTCGTTCCAATATATTTTTTCAAATCGGACTAATTTTTAAACACCCTTAATCCAAGCATTGAGCTTAAGCGCAAAACTACAAAGGAGTACCCTCTTAACTTCTACCTCCATCCATTTCCCCAGTCTAAACACGACCTTAGACCATACAAATTGTATCGATCGATCTGACCTTGACTGGTTTGACTTGTCTAACAGTAAGATTAATTAGTGAATCAAAACACAAACATTGAAGTCATTAATAACTTGTTCAACGCGGGGATCATAGTCCATTAGACCATGTAAGATACACACTACACATGGACGGTTATGATCATTTCAAACATCAACTAATCATAAATTTAAGCAAACTTCTCACGTGTTTAATAAATATTTAAATTAATAATATAACAAAAATAGGTAGTCCACAAGTCTTCCATCAATTTTAACCTTTCTCATTCACTCCACCACTACTAACCAAAAATTATTTCCATGTCACTTAATGTGTACAACTATTTATATTTCCCAACTAATTCCTTACTCTTTTAGAAGTACACAAATTTCTTCCCTCAAAAAAAAAAAAAAAAAAAAAAAAGCCTGGTTCTTAATCTCTATTTCTACTATAAAGAAAAGAATCCGGTGCTATTTTTTTTTTCCCTTTAATTTGTTGGCTAATAATTTTGAGGGGAAAAAAAAAAAAAAACAGTAGAGTTTTTTAGACTTGAAAATAATGGATAGTTTTGTTGAAGAATACCCACTTTGTTGGGGAACGGCTGACATCGGAATGTATTTCGATAATCAAGAATTCGATAGGTGTGTTTACAAAAACAAATCAAATTTATTTCATTACTTTTATTTATTTTTATTGTTGTTGATCTCTTAAGTTTGATTTCTTCTTTGTGTTTTGGTTTTGGTTTTGGTTTTGATTGTGATTTATATTTATATGATATTGAGTTATATTTTTGTTTATATTTGTTGGTAGTTTGGGATTAGATGAAACATTATCATCTTACTATGATTACGACTCGAGCTCGCCGGATGGGTGTGCTTCTTCCATGGCTTCTAAGAACATCGTTTCGGAAAGAAATCGTCGCAAAAAACTTAACGAGCGCCTTTACAATCTTCGAGCTGTTGTTCCCAACATTTCAAAGGTACTGAGAAATTCTTACATACACCCGGGGGCGTATAATTTTTAATTTTCTGATGATTTTGAAATAGCTACTTACTGTAGTAAGAAGTTGGTAGTTATTGATTTCTACAATTGATTGTTTAAGTTGTATTCGCTTTAAATTTTCAGTTATGGATTGGTTTTTATCTATTTTTGTGCCGTTTTTGACATTTTAGAGTAAAATCTTTTCATTATTTTAGCATTTAGCTAGAATTTGACACTTTTTTTAGTGCTGAATTTACTATTTCTAGTAATTGAAATCTTTCTGTCAAGTTGAACCCACAGATTTTGACAAGTTATCAACTGAACTTTTTATTTATTTATTTCTTATGTATTTACAAAACTAGATGGACAAAGCATCAATAATCAAGGATGCAATAAACTATATAAAAGAGCTTCATGAACAAGAACGGAGAATCAAATCTGATATATCAGATCTTGAATACCGGAGATCGAAGAATGGAATTGACAATACATGTTCAATGATGGATTATGAACAGGAGTTGCCTGGTTTACTAATTAAGTCCAAGAAGAAGAGGACTGATCATCGGAAACAACATTACGACTTCAATGGTTGTTGTCGAACGTCTATCAATGACTTAGAAGTAAGTGGGTGTTCAAAATCAAATTCGGTGATTTTTTTTCCCTATTTCTTAGGGTTAAATAATTAATTTTCGATTATGATATACCCACTTTATTTGAAATATAATTTAATTACGTATAAATCTGTGTAATTAGTGTTTGATTAATTTGTAATACTTCGACGGAGTGATATTTTATTTTTAGATTTTTATATGCACAAATCATTTTAGAAGTATTTTAAGTAGTTGTAGCTTTATTGTCAATGATTGATGCACCCACTTAAAAAATATGTGCAATAATGGTCTGACTAAATCTGAAAGATATGATAAAATTGTATAATATTAATAAATTGTTATAATATTATGGTAGATGTTAATTAAATTGTTGTTTGATTAAATACAGGTGAGGGTGTCATACGTGGGGGAGAGGACTATAGTAGTGAGCTTGACTTGCAGTAAAAGAGAGGGCACAATGGTAAAATTGTGTGAGATGTTTGAATCTTTAAAGCTCAAGATAATAACAGCTCATATTACTGCTTTTGCTGGGAGACTTTTGAAGACAGTTTTTCTTGAGGTCAGTCTCTTTCTTACTCCCCATTAATTTCTGTATGTGGTTCTGATTTACTCTCCCCATCACTTGGCCTAAATTTAGTACGTAGATTTCTAATTGGTAGATACTTTATTAGATTCATGTGTCATCATACTGTGTCGATGATCTCGGGATGTCAACTAGATTAATAACAACTTAGAATTACTACTCCTTCGTGAATTAAATTGCATATATATATATATCCTTAAAAACAAAAAAAATAAAAAATAATTGCATCTATTTTATTGTTTATTAAATACTCTAATGAAGAACATATAAATTATTTGATAATATGATGAACCAACCCTATCAAGGTGACACATTTTTTGTGTGATAGGTGTGCATTTGTTAGGTTTATTTGATAGGAATCAACTCAATTTTGAATTAATTTATTTCAATTTCATTTTTCAGTCAGATTTAGGTTAACTTTGTCTTGGATAATAAATTCGGACTTAAAACCAACAAATTTCGAAATTACATGTTAAAGAGGGTTACCCTTTTTTTTTAAAGTTGTTATCGCATTATTTGAGAGCAGGTTTTGTATTTGTTCCAAGTATGACTTGTTAACTTGTTCTGATTAATGAATAAGACAACAAATTGCAAAGCTTTAGGAAATCATAATAGCCAATTAGTCATTAACATTAAAATGGCTAAAACAGTGTTGAAGTGTTGATGGGGGTGGAGCCCATAAACAATAATCGTAGAAAAAAAATACGGTCTTGAAATTCGTTCATATGGCCAGGTTTAAGCGGCTGGGCTTTGACATTTTAAAGCTTCGAAATCCGTTTAAGCCAGCTCAATTGCTCAATCATTTATCTGGCTTGAAATAACATTTGCACCACTAAATAAATAAAATACTTACTATACAAAGGTCATAATCTCTTTACAGTTATATGTTCGATTAATTTTTTTTTTTAAATAAATTGAATTATTTGATACTGTAGCATACTTAATAATTCATATATTGTACTCAGTATATTGCAATAATGTGTTTTGATAATCTTTCCAAAAATTATTACGATTAATAAATAAGATGTGTATAATTGAATTTCATTGATAAATGACATCCTCATACTTCATATACGGAGTAATTGTTACAAAAGATAATAACTCCTAATAATTGTTCGTGATACAAGCAATAATGTTGATAAACTAATGATTTAATCACTCACTAATCTTGAGCCATTATCAAAAGTAGTAGATAGACTAAATATGCATCAAACAATAATTTTGATTTTAGCGTAAAATATAAGCTCATTGTCTCATCAACAACTCTATTGTATGTCAACTCAATTACACCTATTATACAAAGTTAAATCAATAGAACTTATTTACATTGACGGAGGAAATACTTGTAATTAATATATAACGGAGGAAATACTTGTAATTCTCAAGCCATATTGTCACACACAAAGAATAAAGAAAGAAAAAAAATGAACCCCCTCATCCAGTCACCACTGACTGAGATTTCAACAAGAGAACCCCACTAGAGTAATACAAGTAGTATTATTGTTATGGTTTTGATAGAACCCCACCAGAGCAATTAAGAAAAGGGCACATTAAGATAATCATACACCGTAGAATTAGTTACATGACACTAAGCAACTCCGTTTTCCATGTCTCCATCCAACAAACAACCTTTTTTTTTTTTTTTTTTTTTTTTTTATCAAATACACTTCATCTGTCTTTTTTTAATTTTATTTTTATTTTTATTTTTATTTATGTTAAAAGACCATCTCATTCATCGGCTTAAACTTATAGTTGAAGTCTAAGATCTGTTTTCATCCTTTATTACGACCTATCACAATAGATCATGTTAGACTTGAAGCGTTGATGCAATATGGGCCCCATACTAGCACTTAATATTCCACTTGAAAGAAGTGGGTGATGAGATTTAAACTCATGACCTTTTTGTCACGGTGCTGGCTTATGATAGCGTGTCAAAAGACAATCTCAACCATCAGCTTAAGTTAATGGTAAAAGCCCAAGATCCATTTTTATGCTCTATCATTTTCCTTTTCACTCATATTCGTATAAATAGGTTAAAATCCCGTGCAATACACGGTTGTTAAATGTTTTTGACAATAATATTACATACTTCCTCCGTTCCTTAATAGATGACACGTTTCTTTTATCACGTTTGCCAACACACAATTTTCACGAGTTATATCTCCCATTATTAACATTGTAAAATTATAAAAAGTGGATATTAATAAAATATACATTAAGACGATTCAAACAAGATCTCACATGATTATGTTTTATCGTAGCTACAAATCACAAAAGCTAGTCAAAGTGTTGTTTGTGAATAGTGCAAAAGTCAAACTGTGTCATCTAAAAAGAAACGGAGGAAGTAATATAAAATATATAAAAGATATTCAGAAATTTTTTTATTTGGGTATATATATGAATATGATTGTCAAATTGGAAAGAAAATATCATAAGTTATAATTAGTTTACTTAAAGTTTTTGAAAAAAAAAAAAACAAGCGAAAAAGGAGGAATTTTTTTTTTACAAGGTAATGACAAGTGTCCTGGAAGAAAGATTTATTCCCAAGTAAAAGTCTTAATAAGTTTCACTGTTTTTATTGTCACTTTTAATCAATCAAATCAGTTATATACATTGTAGAATATATTTACATTAATGAACTAGACTCTTTTTTTTTTATTGAATAATAGGTACAAAATGCAAATGAGACTTATATGTTATTGGAGATAGATCAGTGTATTTGTCGCATGTCACACACAACACAACGGTTATTTTGGTACATAATAATTTATGATATATGAGTAAAATTTAGATTGTGCAAGTAATTGCATATATAACATCTTAAATAAGTTTATAGAATTCATCGCGTTTATTAATTGTAACATAAATACTGACATGAAATTAATAATTAATTCAAGATTAATTCAAGATTTAGGTGATTCTTGGAGATATAATTTGACAGCAATAAGTCTTGAGTAATATTTGGGCATAAACAATCTAGATGCAATACAATACATACATGCTACATATGGAGGACGGTGATTCTTTATGAGTTTGAATGTATTGTTTCTCGATTTCACATGATTTGGACATAAAGATCACATTTCACAACTAAGTATACGACTGAAATTCTGGAAAATAGGCCAGTCTAGTTCACAACTAATTGAACAGGAAAAATGTGTTGCATTTGATAGGGACAGGAAAACATATATTTCGTATTGGTTTGGAATTGGAAATTATATTGAAACTTCTACCATGTATGGACCTGAAATTGACAAATGATTATTAAGACTTTAAGAGTTTCCATATTTTGTAGTTGCATTTGCATTCTACCAATCGTGACAAATTGGGAAGTTGCGGGTGAACTTTTTGGTAGATATACTATTAAGTTTCCTAAAATCAAATCATGTCTATATACTTCGTATTATTGTCCTTTGGACTTCCTATACCTTAAATAGATGTGCATGCTACATGCACAAATGCACATGCGGTGTTTAAAGTTAGGAGCGTTACAAGTACGTTGCATGTTTGCTGCATTTGATGCATAAAACAAACTAACAAACTAACAAACTAAATTTCTACATCAATAATCAATGCACTTTATGAGTAGTAACATCATTCGTCTCGTTTTATTTGCTCCATTTAACACGAAAGTTCCTCACTAGTACTGAAATTATAGTTAGACGTTCCTTCAAATGATTAGCACTTTATATATTTTTGTCACATTACTATTTCAAATTACACTGTCAACTAACATGATTAATGACAAATAGATCCGATCGAATGAATGGAGTGTTAGATTAAGAGTATCTTATATCTACGTTCACCTACACCTAATATTGATTTTGTGTCTCTCAGGCAGATGAGCTGGAAAAGGATCACTTGAGAATAAAGATTGAGACTGTGATATCGTCAACCCACGTCTAGCGCACGTCACAGTTCTTAAATCTTATTGTTTAGGTGGCTGGTTTTTCTTCTTGTAATACTTGGCTTGTATCAAAACAAATTTCTCCTTTCTTTTGAGTTTGGGAAATTACTGGAGAAAAAAGAAACAAAAAATATTTGATGCTTCCACTCTCGAGATTGGTTGTTCATTTGTTTTTATAGCACAAATTGAATATATATATATATACACGTGGCTTTTGACTAATGACTAAACGATCCCATGATAAAACAATTATTTATATGTATTAACATGCGCGTGACGTGTACGCCAATTTAATTGTCTAAGACACTAAAAGTATACTCCCCCGTCTAATGCTCAACGATATTCCTGGTATGATACCAAAATTAAGTTTATTAGCACCCCAACTTTAAAGTGAAATTGAACCCCCAAACAAGAAGTAAAAAAGAAAAAAATCCTGAAAAGATGCTTCTTCAAAGATAGTGTAAATGCAATAAAAACTTTAAAATACATAAACAAGACTAATTGTAGAAATTTGTTTTTTACATAAAGAGCTCTTTGAATTAATAATATTCAAGTCATAGCGAATGATCTACCTTAGAATTTTAATAATAGATGTAAAATGAGGGTTGAGTTCTTGCAAATTTAATTTTTTATCGTTTGTTTTGGTGGAGAAAAATGTAAGATTTAGTTAATTTGAAGTTGTTCTTGTAAACCTTGTATAAGTACAAAAATGTCCACTTGTAAAATTAGTGGACATTTTTGGACTTACACAAGTTATAATATGAACCAATACAAAGGACTTTTTTATTTTTTTTTGAATTAAATTAAATAGAAATGAATTGGATTGAATTAAACCGAACAGAAACGTTTTGAAATGAAATGAGTTAAACTGCATTGAAAATTATATTGCTGTTGATGATTAATCAATTGATTATTATTAATTAATATTTTAATAATAATAAATATAATAATAATTAATAAAATAATAATTAATAAAATAATAAAATTATCAACAACTACTACTGCTTCTTCTATTACTATTTAATTTCTTGGAAAGAAAGGTTATTGGGAAGTTGCATCAATTATCTCCTATTTTATCCCATAACATCAGGGTTTTTTTTTAATATCCGATTTAATGAAAATCTAAAATACAATTGTAACAAATTAAATGAACAATATGTCTTGTGTAAAGCAGATGTACGTTAATTTTGTTGTAAGACGGTCAGTTTGGTGGTGACTTTAACTATTTTTATGGTAACTTTAACCCCTTACAGATAACTTTTAATTTGTCGTTGGTTTGACTTTAATTTGAATGTGTAATTTCTTATAGATTCATGATTACCTACTGTAAAAGCTAATATAATTAATCTAATACATTATAAGTTTTTTGTAAGATAAAATTTATTAATAAAAAAATAATAATTTTTTTAGTATAAATGGTAATTTTAAATACTTTTAAGATAACTTTAACTCGTCTTACAATAATTAACGTACACCCACCTTTTTGGAGAATTTGTGATAAATGAAAGTGTCCATTTTTTTCTAAAAATTGTTTACATATAGATAACTACAGAATTTAACATTCATAATCTTGATTTGGAAAGTAATAACTCTCTTTTTTTTTTGACAATAGCAAAGGAAGAAAACAAAATGCAACTAGTTAAACATGTTAACCCGACATTTCCAGGCAATGTCATTCGCTCTCCTAACCTGATCTCGCTTAACTTTTAGAATTGTGCATCTTTGGAAGGATGCCCCCACTTCCCTTAAATTTTTAAGTAACCAAGAAATAGAAATTTCATTGCCAGAGCTCACCCGTAAATTGTCCAGAAGGCCAGTAGAGTCAGATAAGAGAAGGATTCCATGTCTACCTTTAGCCCGAGCCCATTTCATTGCTTCGAGACAAGCCCAAGCCTCGCACTGAATGGCTGAGGCTGCTGCTCCATGTTTACCACCTTCCTCCAAGGCGTAGCCTAATTGGTTAGTCTTAACTGCCCACCCAATTCCTGCTCTCCTCGACGTCTTATCCCATGAGCCATCAGCTTCCACAATGAAATCATCGTAGCTACACTTTTCCTTTCCCAGATGCACGTGGTTAAAACTCGGGGGGATGTCCTGGTTTCCTCTATCTGAGATATCCCCTTCATTTGTAGAGCTCGTTTTGAGTTTAAACATTTCATGGTCTTGCATGGCTTGGTTAATAACTTCCATCACTGAACCTATTGTTCCCATAGTTTCCTCAAAGTGTCGAGCATTCCTAGTCTTCCATAGCCCCCATAAGGTTGCTATGAACAAAGCACAACGGTTACTCTGCTTACCATCCTCGCTATTGAAGAGCAGGATATAGTGCTGAATCCATCTTCTCAAGGAGTTGAATTCAGGTAAGTCAGGGCATATAGCTAAGGGGGTGTGCTCCTACACAGCCTTTGCCAGATTACATAACCTAAAGAGGTGTTGGCTATCCTCCAGGTTCACCCCACAGTGATCACAGAGAGCATCTACTTGCATTCCTCTTCTAGCCAGATTAACTTTGACTGAAATTCCATCATGAAACAGCCTCCATAGGAAAAGTTTCCACTTTGGCTGAATCTCCAATCTCCAAATCAACTTAACAAATTCCTGATCCCTTTCCAAGAAAGAAGATCTCTCTAACCCCAAGTTCTTTGATAGATAGTAGTATCATGTTTTAACTGTGTACCTCCCTGACGGGTGGTATTTCCAATAAAGGAAATCCTCCTTAGTTGAGTGCGGAAGCTCCATTGATAGAATCGCTTTTGCACTTTCCCAGTCAAAACATTCCCTAATCCTCCCTGCATTCCAAAACCTAGTATCCCTGTCAATAAAATCACTCACTTTCCAACTCGCAGCCGCTGTCAGGGTTTGACATGACTTAACCACCGGAATTTCTCCATTTACCCATGGCATACTTATGGCCCTAATACTATTACCATTTCCAACCTTCCAAGCAAAACCCTCCTTGAACGATTGAGTAGCTTTTTGAAGACTTGACCTTCCCATCGAAAGGTTCCCTCCTCTTATATGGGAATTAGCCATGAAACAAACACCACCCTGTCGAAAGCCATTGTGAGCTCTTGCCAGTAGAAGTTGAGGGTTGAGATGTATCCTGGTTGCTTGTTTAAAGAGGAGAGCATCATTAAGATCTGAACAACCTCTAATTCCCAGACCTCCCATACTCTTAGGGAGTTGAATGATATTTCTACTAACCCAATGCATCCCTTTATTCCCATTCTTAGCCCACCAAAACCGAGTGATTAAAGCATCAAAGCAGGTAAAACATTATGGTAGTTTATGACATGCATTAGTAAGAGTATTACTTCCTCTATTCTAAAATAAATGACACAGTTTAACTTTATACGCTTTTCACATAACTTGCTTTGTTTCTATCTTATCAACATCCTACTTTCATTTCAATTGAGTACAGCTTTGCATATGCGCTCACTTTTAGGGGAAAATTGGATATTTTCATGCCATCCTACTTTCGAGCACACCAGCTTTGCAGCAGATGCACCACCCACATTTGATAGCTAGTTCCACAAGATGTTATACGGCTTTTTACTAGTACTAGTATTATACCAAACCTACCTTGAGACCACGATTAAGAGTATTGAGCATTCTATCATGCTAGTATATATCCTTACCGATCCATCACCACAAGGCATGTGGAAAACTACACTTGTCCATGTAGACATTCATCGTCCACTTGATAAGTAATGTGGCACCTCCATGTCATGCTTTTGGGTATTTTATAAATACCATACATTTTTACTCTCAATATACAAACACTAAAATTACTACTTCCTCCGTTCCAATATTATTGCAACAATCAGACGTTTGCATTATTCATCACTCTTGTTTGACCATATAATATGCTATATACAATATAGTCATGTGCAATCTTTTTAGATTCGTCTCATAATATACTTTCACAATATCAACTTTTTATAATTTTTACTCTTATACAATTATAGGTATTTAACATATAAAATGTGCTTGAGATGCGTAATTTCTAGTGGCGTAACCAGAAAATTTGCATTAGGGGGGCCAAGATTGATTGAGTTTATTGTAAGACTATGATTTTTTATTTTTATTTTTATTTTTATTTTTATTTTGGTAACATATAGTAATATATTAATAAGTAAGCACTATGATTTTTTTTTTGTAACATATAGTAATATATTAATAAGTAAGCACTATTATGTCACCCTAAATACATAAGAGTTATATGACTTAAGAATAAAGTATGGGCAAAATATGTTAACTTAATACAATTTGGGACTACTTAAAATACTAAAATGGAGAAAACAAAGAATGCAGGAATTAAAAAAATAATTAAGAGTGTAGCTAATATGATTTGAACTTACAACCACATATTAGACAATTCCTTATTTCAACTAAACCAACTAGGCTAAGTATATTACGTTAACATTTAGTGTAGGAATTTAATTTTAAAACAGAATTAAGGGGGTAGTGGTGGCCTATCCTAACCCCCCTTGATTCCACCCCTGGTAATTTCATCCTTGTTGCAATATTATTAGAACGGAGAAAGTATTAGGCTTTGTTCTTTTGAGCTTCTGGGCACAGCAGAGCAGATTTCAACAGAGAGCAGGTGTTAGTAGAGCAGAGCAGAGCATATTTCAACAAAACAGAGCAAAGTAGTTATTACTTTCTCCTTTTTTTTATTTTTAAATGCATCACTTCCCTTTTTTTTTTTATTTTTTTTTATGCATCACTTCTATATTTGGTAACTTTATATTATACTTCTTCCGTTCTTTTTTACTTGACCCGTTTTGACTTTTGCACTATCCACCACCCCTTCTTTGACCATCTTTTCTGAATAATATGTAAGGAAAAACATATTCATGTGGGATCTTTTTGAATCCGTCTCAATAAATACTATCATAATATATAACTTTTATAATTTTTACTTATAGAGAATTAAAGTTATTGATCGTTAAAGTTTTGCATTGGCAAACGTGATAAAAGAAACAGGTCAAGTAAAAAAGAACAGAGGAGGTATTTTATTATTTCTCTCTTACTTTACACCCCCACTTAAATTATTTTATCATTTCTCCCTTGTCCATGGTTCCCGCTTAAATAATAAAAATATTTACTGTCTCTCATATACTTTCTCTTTCATGGTCCCCATTTAACTT